TTTTTTTTTTTTAGGAGAAAAGTTAACAATTTTTTTGTAGTTTCTTTCGTATTACAGTGCAAAAGGATGAAAAATCAACTTGCCCACAAATGCCTTTTTGCTTTGATGGAAGTTAATGCAAAACCTTGAATGAATTTTTGGTAGCATAATAGTCAATGCGAAATAGTTTGGTTTTTTTCAGTGAAAAATGCTTAGTTCCCTTCTTCTCAGAAGACCCTCATTAGTTCTGTAGTAATAAATAGTGTAAGAATACCTGTCATGGTCCAAAGGCAGAGTTTCAGCTAGACACTGAAAATACATCTAGTAAAATAAATGGAGTGGGACTCTGTTCTTTCGCTAGTAATAGAGGAACAGGTTCACTTTCTTGTAAAGCTACTGTGGCTATCAGAATTAGGCTTTTATCTTGTTTTCATGTATATTGGTGGATCAGTTTGTGGCAATGATAATCATGTTTCTGTTTAAAATTTACATTAGCAAATGCTGGTTCTGCAACTGGATTTTTGATGTCAGTTACTGTGGTCATAATGGGGTTTAAAACTTCTGCATACGCTGTGTTCTGAGATTATCTGCTAGCCTTCTCAGGTGCTGAAACACTTGCTGTGGTTCTGTATAAGACCATTAAAACTGTTGGTTACAGTCGTCTTTTTGCTTTTAGATTCAAGCGCTTCAGAAAGCGTATGATGAACTTTGCCAGAAAGAGGGCGTCACGGCCTTGCCTTATTTTTTAATTAAGTATCATGACAATTCTGTTGTGGTATCTCTGCTGAAAAAGTGGGATGCTTTCTTCCAAGACCAAGGGGGAAAGGTAATGAGAATTTTTATGTCTTTTTATAATCTACAAATGTTTAATTTACGAATGCTTTGAAAAGTGTCTATAATACTGAGCTGGGTACAGTGGGTGGAGGAGCAGCTTGGATTGATTTTTTTTTTTTTGGTCAAGTTAAGGGTCTCTAGTTCTTATGCAAAACCCAGTTCCATCAGATTAACAGTCAGCTTGAGAGCAGAGTTCTTTGTGCTCTGTCTCCCTCATTATCAGAACAGAAACAACGGAAGTTTATGAAAGAGTTAGCGTAATGATAAAAATTTTCGAACCACTTTACCTACAATGCTATAAGAATGTAAAACACTTATTTTACTGTTTGTGTACTTAACATTTGTATTAATTTCCTTTTTGTATTTGTTGTTGGTGGTAACAGCAATCAGGGAGTACTACATGGGAATGTTCAACTTTCAGTTTTCAGCTCTCAGTGTGTGTTTTGCCACATGTACCTGTCATAAGAATGTTCAGGATAAATGCTTTCTAATTTTGGAGGATAGATGGATTGTGCACCAGAAGAGGCTGGGATATTTCTTCTTGTTCAATGCAGAGATCATGCATGTCCTTGAGCGTTAAGTGAGTGCTGTCCGTTGCTGTCAGTAGTTAGAGAAGAATTACGATACGTGAAGCAGATGTCATCACAGCAAGAGTTGACTGGACTGGTTTGTTTACATTGAATTCTGGTTTGGATCATGTTGCTCAGCTGCTGAACTTTGCTAGGCCTTTCTGAGTGCTTTACTGTCTTTATTTTTGGTGAACTTCAAACTGATTTGTATCTTACATGTCACTGAAGTGTTAAAGAAAACACTTTAGTTATGGTGAAGAGCTAATAAGTGCAAAAGAGACTGTTTTTTTTAAGGAGGTCTTGTCATACCTTATGAAGGTAATTCAGTTTTGTTTTGTAGTACTTGATCTTCAATTTTTTTTTTTTTTGCTTTTCCAGATTTGTTTTTCTGAAATTAAGACCTAGGTCTGCAGTTCTTCTACGTAAAATAACGATACGAAGGTTGAGATTTTAAATGGTAGTGTAACTGCAGAAACGGGTCACAGATAAGAGTATGCTTAATTCTCAATTAAGGCATTCTCAATATGAGAGAAATCTGAAATCTGGAATATGTTTCTTCATTAACATTCACTTTGGAAGGAGGTGCCAAAATTTTAGACTTGTCAGATAAGAATTACTGCATCAATACTGCCTGTAGAGTTTGTTCCTGTTTCAATGAGTTAACTGAACTTGCTTCCCTGGAAGAAAAACATGGTTTTGCTGTTGCTGAGTTAATTTTCTGCTAGTTTATGAAATCTAATCAGCTTACTAAGGAGTCTGAGGCCTGCTAGAGTCCGCAGTTGCCAAGCAGCAGCAGCAGCCCTGCATGGCTGGGAGGAAGGATGTGGGGAGTGGGTCCCAGGTCCTCCTCTCTGCATCCATTGGATTGGCTCATCTGCATTTCAGACTGTTCCAGGGACACCTCGCGGGTGTGGCAGAGTTGAGATCAGTCACACTAAGTCCATCTACAGGCCAAGAAGGAGGAGCGAAGAGCTCTGTAGATGTGAAACACAGATATCGCTAGTGATGGCCAAGGTCAGATTTTCCGCATATCTAAAGGCAGGCAGGGACATCTTTCTCCTGCCTGGGTGTGTTTTGGTTCTGTGTTGACTGTGAAGTAAGTTCCTGGTTTAGATGCCTCGGTTATGGGCATGGTATTACACTGCGTGGACATGAGACAGAATGTCCAGTTCCTTTATTGAGATCCCATCTGGAAGGTTGGCTTTACAAGTGATTTTTATGCTGGTTTTTTTGGTGTCTTGCTGGTTTGTCCCCTTTCACTTTTTGATTACCCCAAAGTCAATCCAGAATTTTGTTTTGAGAGCAAGGCTTCCGTGGTTGGGCTTCTCCCATCATGATGTCGTTGAGGAGGGTCAGGAAGGTGCACATACTGCAATGAAGAGTGAACGTCCGTAAAGAGGCTGAACTAAACAAATCTCACAGCTGTGGCAAACGCTCGACTGAAGTCCAGTGTGACCATGTATTAACCATTTGTAAATACATAAAATGTGGGGGGGTGCCTTCTCTGTCCAGAGGTTTCATATTAAAAATGTCAGATAACTTTTACTGTGAACTTAGTATCAGCATGGCTAGATGACTTGTCATTTAGAGCAATTTTATTTGCAGGTGACAGTTGGAGTTTATGATCCGTGTAATTTATCCCACTATCCAGGATGGCCACTGAGAAATTTCCTGATCCTGGCAGCCCACAAATGGTATCTGTTTTATTCTTTCCCACAAAGATTATCTATTGGTTGATACCAAGTTAGGCATTTTTTCCCCCGTGACGCTTTACTCGTATCACCCACCTGAGATTTAACTTCTAACCTTGACATGACTCACTTCCAGTGATGCAGATTTTGCATATTATTCTGGTTTTTACTTCTGTCAGTCAGATGTTATTATTCCTAATCCTCACATGCATGCATATACCTGGAAATCCATGCTTCAGGCCCTGCCAATACCCTCTAGCTGTTTCAGATCTAGTTTAAAGTATTCTGTGATTTTATATAATTGCTTACTGCCAAGTACTACTAGACCTAAATTTTGAAAATCAGATACTCTAGTGTTTTCTTGCAGTGAACCTTCTTGAATTTTTTCTTGGGCAGAAGTTAGAAAGACAGGACATAGTTTTGAACTCTGGTATTTGAAAAAAAGTATCATTTAAAGTATCATACAAAATTGGGTTGCTGCAACAAAAACGTGAAAGTTGCATTTTAATAGTTTTGACTTTTACATTTTATTACAAAGCACACAGCAGGGAGAAAAAATGTTCATTTTGCTATGGCGTTATGGTGTTTTCTAGGCTGCTAGCTGACCTGTAGCTACAAAAATGTGTAAGTGACCAGAGAGGTTTACGTGTTTGGAAATTCAGAGGTTTTTAAGCACTGAAGTTCTAATTGTTTGATTTGGGGATTTGAATCATAAGAGGAAAAGTGGTATTACATCGAGAACTAAGAGGGTCTTGCTTGTGCAGTGGCAAAGTACATCACGTCACCTGGTATGTGCTCTAGTGCTTCCCTGCCTTTTCTTCCTCTCAATACGCAGTTTGTCTCGCAGCGCTGTATAGATGACAGATGACAGGCTGACGGTACCGCTTCTTTAAAGCTGTTTCCCAACAAACCAGACATTTTCATATACGAAGCAGTTGGGTTTATAGCTGGTAAGATCAAGTGTTCCAGTACTAGCAGAAAAAGCCTTGGTCAGAATCTGCAAGAAACTAAGCCCGTGTGAAATGGTGTTTAAAAGAAGCACCTTTCCTATTAAAGAAGTGGCGTCTCTCTCTCTCTTTTTTTTTTTGCATGGCAGGGGCAGCATTCTCCAGTCAGTGGAAGTGCTCTGCTTCAGAGATCGGACCATGCAAGGGGTGAGGGACATAACACACAGCATTGTCTTTGAAATAAAACTTCCAGAGAGAGCCCTTGGCCCAGGTAATCAATTTTTTTAAAAAAACTCTTCCTTTTTTTTTCTCCCTCCTCAATCACTGTGAAGATGGAAAAAATAAGTTAATAGTACTAAATCATTGCTTGTGCTAAGTTATTTCAAATGGATTTTAAATTGTTTTCATTTCTATTGAATGTCTATAAAGGAGATGATTCCTTCAAAAAAGAAAGAAGAGAGCATATTCTCTTTTCATTTTTTCATCCTTAAATTTTGTGTCTAATGTAAGAAAAGAGTCCTGTTGGGGTCATATGAAATACAAGACCCAGGCAGCTAGCAATTAGTCTCTTTTTTCTTGTTAAATTTGTACACGGTCCCTCAGCTAGAAAAAATGCATATGATAGTGAATTTATGGGATGCAAACTTTCTATTTCTAAAAAGGAAGAAGCCTGCTACAGAGTGGAGTTGTTTCTTCAATCCCACAGTGAGGCAGGCAGATGGATTTTAAAGCAATGGATTTGCATCATTAGAACGTGAAGTCAGATGGATTTTCTGTGTACAGGACAGTATCACAAAACTTCTCTACCTCATCCAAGAAGTCATGAATGCTTTGCATATCATCGTTGTGAATTGTTTATTATATAATTAGGGTGTATCATTCTCTACTGAATTTCCAGATGGGGTCTGGGGAGCATGAAGAGATGATTGAACTTGATAAAATTGACTGAGTTTTGAGTTACGAATTTACTGAGTTCTGAATGTATCAGTCTATTTGACATTAGGGATTCGGTGGCTTGATGAGGAATGATGCCATCTCTGTCCTAGGTTTGAAGCAAGCTGAACAGGCAAAAGCAGCACATCGGACATTTAAGAGTAAAGCACTTCTCTAAGAAAGGGTGCTTTTGGTTGATATAAAACAGCATAATTTGTATAGCAACGTATACTAGGTTGTGAAGGTACACGTCTTTACTTACAGGCTTAAAATTTGTTTTTTCCAACAAGATTAAATCTAACAGAATTTCTCTTTTCTATCCTGTGATGTTAAGGCTTTAATCCTTTCTTTCCTTCTTTCTTCTTTTTTTTTTTTAAATTTTTTTTAATATGTCAAACAGATTGTCCAAAAGCTGTTGGATGGGAGAAAAACCAAAAGGGAGGCATGGGTCCAAGGATGGTGAATCTCAGTGAATGTATGGATCCAAAAAGGTTTGTTCGTTATCTTTTACATTTCTGCATTTTCTTTACTTTGACTTAAGCCATAACAAGTTGAAATGTGAAATGCAAGGACTGTCTGTCTCTGTGAGGTAGGAATATGCACCAGCACTTGTGCTGTGTGTGCTCTGGACGGTCCTGTTGTGGGTAAGGACCTTCACAGAGCAGAGCGCACTGCCTGAAGCAGAAGTGTTTGCAATTTTTGACACTAGCATAAAATTTTAAATGCAAATTTAAAACTCAAGTGGAAGGTAGGTCATAGTGCTACAGACCTGTGGTTCTTATTGAATTCTATAACCTGCAGGTTGTTAATGTAATAAAAGTAAGCATGGAGAAAAGTTCAGCCTCTTGGAGTTGTTAGGGTGTGACAAAAGAGCTCAGGAAAGGTTGTTTTACTGATTTTTATTTTTCTGCACATAATGTATGGGCAGTGGATTGAGAAGAGTCTGGTCGCGCAGCCTACCGGCTCCCCTGCTTGCACTGACTGCACGTGTGCTCTTGCCTTTGCAGCACTGTGGGAGTGGGTTGATCTAATTAATGATCCAGGTTAACATCATTTGCCTACCAAGCTAAGTCGGTTTTGGCTTGCAGTTGTGGCGATCCAGAGTTTGTTCACAGATGTTCGAGAAGGTTCATCTGAGGGCTCTTAATTCTTTAAGGAAATGTAACTTGGCCTTCTTCACTGGTATGCATGCTGACTCCTGTCAGTTCCCATAGTGATGTCTGGTAGTATGCCCACCTTGGCCATTGCCATCTTAAATCCTTGTTTGAGAAATAATTTACTGGATACTGCAAAAATTACGTTTATGATATAAAAAGGAATGAAACTCATGAATCTGAGAACTTGCACGCATATCTGATTTGAAGACAGGAGAAAGGAAGAAGAATGTTGAGGAGTTTTATGAGCAGGAGTGGAGAAGTAAGCGTTACCATTCTGTGTGAAGCAATGTGTTCCTTTGGCAAGAGGAGGAAGGAGAGTGAATGAGCGCCATGCTTTGAATGGATTTTTTTTTTTCTTCTGAGATTTTCCTATGCCAGTTATTGCTCTGTGGATGACTTGTGATGACCTGAGTTGATGAGGGTTTTAACACCCTGTGTTCTGATGAATGCAAAAATCTGACATCAGGTTGAGCATGGATTTCTTACCTTATTTTCCTTCTAAAACTTCCACAAAGAACTGACTGCATTCCTTAGAGAGTTACTGTAATAGTTCGTGTTGAGGACAGATGTAACTGGGTGCAGGAAAGGGGTTGTTTCCGATCTCCTTGCCACGCACCTTATTATTAGCTGGAAGTATGCTTGGGGGACTTTGTTTTTCATATTACTTGTATGTTGAATTATTTAATTGTCTCCTTAAAAAAAAAAAAGGTTTAACTTCTTCAATTGGAATAAAAGTAATTGCTTTGTTGGAGGAATGCAAGAACATTCAGAAGTGTGTTGCTGTTTATTTCCTGGTGTAGGTTAGCAGAATCATCGGTGGATCTTAATTTGAAATTGATGTGCTGGCGTTTGGTGCCTACCCTTGATTTGGAAAACATTGTGTCTGCCAAGTGTCTGCTGCTAGGGGCTGGTACGCTGGGTTGTAGTGTTGCAAGGACCTTGATGGTAAGTCCTGAGTTAATCTTAAAAGTAATCTGCTGTTTCCCATAAGTTCTATATGATTATTTTTTTTTAGCAGCTGCCATGGCACATAGGAGAAAACTTGTATTTCTCTCTGTTAACGTACATGTAACATGTATTAGGTGATGTTATAAACTGCAGGGAAGAGTAGAATAGTAGCTAGTAAGAGAGCCTTAGCAGAATAGTAACTTGTTTTGAATTTGCAAAAAAAAGAAAAGATTGATCAAGAAATTCGGGAATAAATTATCAAGCTAATATGATCAAATTCACAGTGAAGCACTTGAAGTAGCTTTGCTGGTATTTACTTGCAGGGGCATTGACCACGTCACACTGAATTCAGCATGGTTTGGAGGGATTACTGCTAAATGATATATTTGGACAGACCAAATTTTTTGTTCTCTTAATTCAGCACAAGTACAAGGTTATTGCTGCAAATAGCTTCAGAATCTTTCTAGAAAAATTGGACAAAACTTCTCTTGAGTTTCTGGCATTACTCAAAAGTATATGGCTCAGCCCATTCTCCTTATCATTATCTAAATTACTTTCTTGTTTAGGGTTGGGGAGTCAGGAAGATTACATTTGTGGACAACGCAAAGATCTCCTACTCCAACCCAGTACGACAGCCGCTGTACGAGTTTGAAGACTGTCTTAGCGGTGGGAAGCCTAAAGCACTTGCGGCAGCAGACAGGCTGCAGAAAATCTTCCCTGGAGTGGTAAGATCAGTATTTAACATGTGTTAATATGTTCTTGGAAGAGAACCAGTGACTCTAAATAACAATTCCAGGTTCTAATGATTAAGCCTTATTGTGAGTGGGAGGGAAAATACTGCACAGGTGTTACATTGGTTCCTGACAAATCTGTGAGCATTTTGCTCAAGTACTCTGTACCTGTTGCACTTTATTGAGACAATAAACATTTGTAATCCATTAAATGTGATTAAGGATTGTCTGCATTGTCTTGTAGCTCATGGATGGGGAAATGGATTTGTTTCCTGTCTAGTGTGTCCTAAGGAGCTTTCAGTACCGGCTGCTTTCAGTGCTGTGTTTCCACACTCTGCCATTACCTGTCAGTTCAGACATGTTGTCTGGCTGTTCTGGGAGCAGACAGTCTTGGAGGCAGTCATACATGTATTGTTGAGGTCTCCCACGATGTTTTACACCCAAAATTTGCAACCTTATCTAAGCTGATTTTCCACATAAGAGGCAAATACTTAGCCTTTCACTCATTATGGTATTGTTGGAGTGAAATGACCTAGTGTTCTCCAGCTTGCTGCAGATGGACGTTTTGCTCTATGAATGATCAGTGGTGCAGTGCAAGTAAAAGAAAAATTTTGAATTGTAAAACTGAAAGGTTTTTTTTTTCTGTTGTTTTTGCCCAGAATAGCTTAATAGCAGCAAGTATCGATCAGGAGCTTGGGTTGCATAGAAGTGTGGTACAGAGTGTTAAGATGATGGAAGAGAACTTTCTTGTCTGTTTTGTTTTCTTCAAGAACTAAGCAAACTGAATCAGACCCAGGAAAGGGAAGCAGCTCGTAGCAGCCTGGAGAAGATACCGATTTTGGCCTTTGACCAAAGTGCTTCTCTTCTGGGGAGCTGGATGGTAACAACTTAATGTCAGAATGAAGTAGCTGAAAGGGAACAAAAGACAGGGGAAAAAAAATTGTTTCTTTAGAAGCTTGATCATGAAAGACCCGCCAGTGGCAGTCATTATTCTCTTTGACTTCAGGGATGTGGATCGTATGAACATTATTCAGTGCACATGTTCAAACACGCCTGATTTTCAATGTGGGGAAAAAAGCAGATCAAAAAAAAAGAACAACAACTTGCAGATATTTGCAGTTGTCTCCGTTGCATCCTTCATTTGGGAGAAGAATTGTTGTGGCCTATAGCTTCAGAATAGACATGCTCTCAGCTTCCTCTATCATGAACAAAACTTTTTTATACTTGTTTGGCGTGTGATAGAAGTCACTCCACTGTTTATAGTTTTTGCTATGGAATTGAGACTGTCTTAGAAGTGGTAGTTGTAGTTACCAGAGCTCAGCTGTCAAAGAGCGCATTAACCACGTAGTGTGAATAAGGATGAGTTACGTTTACTTGCTGTGTAATGCTGTATTTAAAGTGCCACTGATTGTGTTACTGCTTATAATATTATTGGGAACTCTGAACAGCAAGATACAGATCTGTTACCTTGCTGATGATCAGTGTTGTGAACAACCTTTTCAGAGGATTGTTTCCAAATATCTTCAGGTTCATTTTGTCTGACCCAAGGATTGTGGTTTTGTTCTGTTTTATCTGAGTTGATCCTGTTATTGTCATTATTTATGAAATCAGTGTTATTAGTGAACAGTAAACCAATGAGCATATGAATATCAATGATCCCCGGTATGAAAAAATGCTAACCATTGCACTTTCAGAACTTTTGATAAGTAAAGCAGAGACTCTGAAAGTTCCTAGAATTGTATTTAACCTTGGTGCATTATAGTGTTGTTGTTACTTGGTGATATTAATTTAGCTACAGGAATATTAAACAGCAGAGCAAGGACAGAAAATAAAGCACCTGTGTGAAGCCACATAGAGCACCAATGTGATGCTGACTAGGATTTGTGTCACATGACATCATCACTTTGTAAACCTGAGAAAATGAAAATAGGAGTGTTAAGAAAGAGTGAGCAGTTTAATTAGAAATAAAAGCTGTTTGTGGAATCTTGAATGATACACTTGTGCCTGTAGAGATACAGACTGCAAGGTAGTGTTACCAATTTTCTGGTTAGAAACAAAGACCAAGCTGTGCTATTGAATCTGGAGATTGTGATAAAACTTTAAATAAATTTTAAAAAGTTAAATACAACCTGGAGAGGAACTTCTAGTATAAGAGGGAAGCAATCACAGAGCTTCAGTGAGCCTGTGTCAGTAAGTGTTAGGACATATGCTATACATAGGAAAAAAACTATCTTCTTCCTCAGTAACAGCATATACAGTGTGCAACCCCTCCTGTGTGTGAGGAGTTTTTCCTCTACCGTATGCCTCAAACGTTCTGCATCTCCCACTGTTTCCTTAGCACGTCATCCCCACCAGTGGTGGGCATTCTCTGTTGTTTCCTCCTGCTGCGGATGGGTCACATCTAACCAGCCTTCAGCGGGACGCAAACCTACTCTCATAACTTTGTGGCGCAAGTGATAGGACGCTTCTAATGTATTTCTCAGTCAGCCTCATTTCTGCCGTGGAATGTGTGGAGAAGGGGTGTCGTGTTTGGCCGGCAGGGAGCATCCAGAGAAACAACATGCTAGCATTAGCAAGGATTAACGGGCTTCGCAGTAAAACCAGTTGGTACTGTGCTGAGAGCATGTGAGAGTGGTGAGGCTTAGGCAGTAGGCCAGGCCCATGGGCCAACAGTAAGACTGTAATTGGCCTGGCCAAGTCTTGGTGCTTTGGGACAATTCAGACAGTGTAGCTCTTCTAGCTGGAGATTTTTATAACCCAGCTGATTTTGACAGACTTCTCAGAATAGAGCTGAAGGTGTCACTGCAGGCTGCACTGTTGCTCATTACCAAAACCTGTATTTATCAGTGTAAATGTCTTTCTATTCAGAGATTGGTTGCTCTGGATTTTGAGCCTGCTCATACTGAAGGAGTAGCCAGAGGTGTCTCCTGCTGTTTGGAAACCCACACAGTCCTTGCAAGCCCATGGGGATCCCAGCAGCAGTGCTGACTCTGAAGGCATTGCTGAAAATTTGGTTTTACGTTTCTGTGCAATCCGCTTGCAGTCTGATTTACTTTCTTTGATTTCGGTGAGAGTAATATTTTGCACACAAAATGCACTTTCTCCTGGTTGACTTTGAAATGCTTGACTGCTCGATGTGAATTATTTTTATTTTTTTAATTTTACATCCTTTTTAGTTGGAAGAGTAACCACCTCATCATTGCAAAAGAGATAAGAAGGAATACTTTGACAAGGAGCTTTGATTTATTTCATTCCACTTCTAAGGTTATCGTTAACTGTAGCTTAGAGTTTTGTAATAAAAAAGAAGAGAGGACTTGGAAATAGCAGAATTTACGGATTCCCGGCCTTTCATTACAAGGAGGTAATACACAGAGCCATTCATATAGTTGCTGTGGAATTTAACTTCATTGGCTCTCTCATACAATTGTTTCCTGATGTATCCAGGTGTGGAGCTCCAGTGTGTTTAGCATTTTCTTGTCCTTTGCACTGTATTGCCCGGGGAGCTGCCTTACATAGGTGTTTCCGATAGAACAATGAATTGATGGCAGCAGCAGCACATTGCTTTATTTTCTGTGTAGGTGCCCATGGCACGCTTCTGCTCAGGCTCAATGTACGGAGCACAGATCTCTTCTAAGTGATCCGAGCTGTGGCTTAACAAAAACATGCAGGAAGGTAATAGAAATGTGTATGAAAATGAGAGAGAAGGTTACAGTAGTACCACAAATCGCAATATCTTGATGTCCGTTTGCTTTTAAAACCAAACCAAAGGCACTGGAGTCTCAAGCACAGCTCTGGTCAGCTGTCAATGAAAGTGTTGAAGAGCACTTTGTCTTTTATGGTTTTGCACATGTCAACATAAAATCCTTTTTTTTTAAAATAAGTATGTGATTCTAATACTTTATGGGACGGTAACTAAATATTGTTTTGTTTTGGATAATTTGGAGGCATTTTAAGTCTTTTGTTAGAGTGAAGGTTCTGGTCTTGAAATCGAAGCATTTTTGTGAGCAGTCAAGCAAAATTCTTTATTGTATAGAGACTTCCTGAGACTTTGGAGTTCTGTGGAATGAAGGAGATCTGTCTTTCAGGATATATGCACATTTACCCCTCTTTAAAATACTCTGCATGTGCCATCGCAGGGTATCCTCTTAGGTCTTTTTTTGCCCACATTTGGCTGCAAAAGCGTACCTTGGCCACTTTTGCCAGTGGCTAGTGTCTTTTTCTCAGGGGACAGTTATTCGAATAAAACTGACGCTATTGCAGCTGCCAGGCTTGTATGTATTCCTGCAGCTAGGGTCAATGGATAGAGGGATTTTTTTCTGAATTCTAGTAAGATTTTAGTATTTTAAAAACCTTGTTACCATATTTCCATGCAGCTCATGTTCAACTTATTTGTTTAGTTGTTTATTTTTTCAAACAAAAATCAACCTCCTAACTCGCCAACAGTGTCAGTTATACTTCTCTAGTAAATCAGCGCTTGTGTGCAGCACCGGGGCCTGAAGAGTTACCCATAAACACGCCACTCATATGCAGCATGGATTAAGTTTTGTGTTCCTGCCGTAGCTTTCTGGAGGAGATAATTACAGTGAAGGTAAAACCTCCTCCAATAACTATGTGGTGTCTGTGCTGGTGATGCAGAACCCGGGCTGTCCTCACCGTGACGCAGTGGAGCTGCCCTGTGAGCAGCACGCTGGATTACTGTGGACTCCACATTTTTCCCCTTAGAGGTGGCAGGGTGGGGGAGGGGGTGGAGAGGCAGGGAAGAAGAAGAGGGGGAAAAAAATGGTGCATCCTTTGGTATGGTAGATGCAGATATTACCCAAATTCATTTCCCCAAGCTGCTGTATGTGTCCACTTCTTTTCATCTTCCGGGGTGTTTATGATGTGTAGAATGGATACTTCACCCTTCTGGTTCTTTGGCTCACCCAGATTTATGAGTTGTGCCTGTAACTGTTGAATCCTAAAGCATGTTCCAGCGACAGTCCTTTCCTCTCTACCCATCTGATTTTATGTTTGGGTCATCTAGCTTCTAAATTTTGGCTTTTAAATGGTGAGTTGCTTACAGCACAGTGACAAGCAGGGAGGCTTTGGCACAGTCTGTGCTTCTGTAACCATCTATGAAGGATCCATGGTTCTCTTGCAGCAGATGGCTGGCAGATTGTGTTAACATGTTTCCCAAAGAGTGAGTTAATTGTGTGCATTGTGTATGCATTGTATCTACTTCTTTGGCTCTTTAGCCATTTTCTGCTCGATATGGCGTGCCCAAATATGGAGCTGGAAGAGGCAGATGTTCCTGCAACAAGAAAAGGCTCTTTCAGCATCCGCACAGCACAGGCCTCCAGACATCGAAGCACTGGAGTAACGAGCCTCAGAAGTGATTTTCTTCTATATCAAGTTCACATTATGGCTGCACAAGTTGCATGAAAATATTTTGAGACTATTGTTTGTCTTGTAAAGAATTTAAAACACAGAGGAGAATGTGTGATGCTTCGCATCTGTCTTACTGTAGTTGAGACAATACTCAGTATCAGAAATATAAACTACATCCAGCTAACGTTGTGTGTGATGTGGCTGCAAAGATAATCCAGGACAAAGACTTTATCTAAGTTTAACAGCATGATCGTAATCACGTAATCCGTCTGCTTGCTTTTGTAACGAGGTTTGTTACCCCTGGGGTTAGGAGTAGTTCAGCTGTCCTCTTGTAGTCATTCACCAGACCTGATGAGACCTTCTGAGAGACTGAGCTTGTTCCGTCAGGCCCCAAGCCACCCGTACATGGTTGGTTGCTCTCACGACCCAGGGCAGTCGTGTGCACTGAGCCGCTCTGTTCTGCGTGAATATAGCTGCTGAGCCTGCCCTTCCCCCCAAAACTTCAGCCCCGTGCTTCAGTGTGCAGCACTGATATCCCCAGAGAGGTAAAGAATAAAGTTGCCATTCTGCCAAGCAGTAATTGAATTTGTACTCTGCAATTTTGTTATAACAGTTCTGTTCAGCCACAAGGTTATCTTTTTAATACATTGTTTTCTCTCTGTCTCCATACAGAGTGCGGAAGGCTATAACATGAGCATCCCTATGCCGGGCCACCCCGTGAATTTTTCTGAAGTAACAATGGCACAAGCTCGGAAGGATGTGGCTAAACTCGAAGAACTGATTGAGGCTCATGACGTTGTTTTCCTACTAATGGACACTAGAGAGAGTCGATGGCTCCCTGCTGTCATTGCAGCCAGCAAGAGGAAGGTATTGTGCCATACCTTGCAAATATCCTTGTCGCTGTATTTGAGCTCTTGCATATTAAACAGCTGTGTATACCTGAAATAACTTTAGGGGAAATTGAAATATTTGACCAATCATTGGTGATTGTGCAGAATATTTTTCTTGTTTTCTGTAGCCTCAAAGATTCTGTATAAGACAAAAAGAGAATGTTGAAAAGTGGAAATACAAAGTTGTATCACAGAACAATAGAGGTTGGAAGAGACCTCTGGAGGTGGTCTGGTCCAAGTCCCTGTTCAAACTAGGGCCAATGTACAGCGTGTTGCTCACGTTCTTGTCCAGTCAGTATCCTTTCAGCATCTCCAAGGGTGCATATTTCATAGTAGTACAAAGAGAAGTAACTTCATAGTAAAAGAATCATAGTAAGGAGGACTAAAAAGATTACAGGAATGACTGACCGATCGGGCATGTGAATTGTAGAAATTTGTCTGAAACCACGTTGTCAAAATGTATCTCAAATGTGAAAAATAGGAAGGTGAATTCTGAACTTAAGAAATATGCCAGCACTTTTTTGGTCAAAAGTTGTTAACTCTGGGTTTTCCTCATTGCCTTATTGGAAAACATACTGGTGTGGTGAGCCAGTGCATCCAAACTCTGACTCTCACTCAGGTAGTGTTGAATGCTTCAGCTATTTCTGTAGCTTAAAAGTAACATCCTCACGTTACAAGCAAAGATGTTTCCTAGTTTTCTGCTTTCCTAATAGTTGTTAGTTGTTTGTGGTTTCTTTTGTTTGTGCTTATTTCCAAAAACAAGGACAGTAGGAAGGAGAAAGAATGTAGATTTGTGGCATTTGCAAGCGAGTTTTATCTAATAAATTCCAAGTATATTCCCCTTTCTGCTGAAATGTATATTAATCTGAACTTAACTAAATTTCCTCTGCATCTGCTTTGCCAGCAGGTTTTTTCCAGATCAAACAGTTCTTTTTTTTTTTTTTTATGACGAGGTCATAGATTCTTTTCTTTCATTCTTTCCTCATTTTAAATAGATTTCTGATCCTGAGCAATAGGCTTAAATGTGTAGTTCAAATGCACTTCCCTTTGCCAGTGAGAGTGACACTGCCAGCGAAAGGATCGGTGTGTCCCTTTAGTGTGGTCTTCACTGAAATACCACTTCAGGTGTATGTGAGTGTATGGAACTGGATAACTTGATCAGTTCCTGCCTAATCCTGCTGTCTTTTCTGCAGTTTGCACCTGTGGTGTTTCAGCAGTCTTTTGATCTGTTTAAAACCAGCACAGAAATGACATAAGAACAGCAAGTTTGCAGAGCTGGGTGTTGAAACTGGAAAGCGGCAGCCTCCTGTTCCATGTGTGTGATGGTTGGTGGTTGTAGGTGGTACGTGCAGGCTTGTGTGCAGCCCTCCTGTCTGGGCCAGTCGGGATCAGGTTGTTTTAATGATCTCCAAAGCTTTTCCCCCCACGTTTGCTTAGCTATGAGTCCCCCACTGTATTTGCCGTACGGCATTCAAATCATACTTTGAGGACACATTTTGTGATTTCTTTGTGACAGTTCTCTCATACTCAGTGTGTCTGACTGCATCACAGTTATTTGATTTCCGTAAGATCACTCTGATGCGAAGAGATTCAATTCTCTGTCGCTGCATCAGCACAGCACTGAAATCTCGAGGTCTCCAAATGGAAATGCTCAGTACCTGCTTTTCAGTGTACTTCAAGTTGATAAAATCTAATGAGAGCTCTGCTGCTCTACTTCAAATGTGGATTTGTATGTTACCTGCAAACCTGCGGGACTGCTGCAGTTTGGACCCTGAGGTTTCAGAAGAGGCAGACAGCAAATGAAGAAGGTGGTGAGTGATAATCTGTGCAAAGCTCTGTAAGGGGTACATGGGTAGAAGTAAGAGCTGGTTCCCCGTGTAATTGTTTAGTTGTTTTGATAATTTTCGGTCTTCCTGCAGTCTGTCGTCCCGAAACAAGTATCTTAGACAAGCACAGGACCCAGATGTTAAAGGTGTCAAATGTTAAATCCCTGTTCCTGCTTTTTCTGAGCACTGGAACCTTTCAAATTTTGCTATTTTTTAAACACATGCCAAAAGATACACTTTTCCATAGTCTCTTTATCAAAAACAGATTTTTTTTTTTTTTTTTTAATTTAAGGGTCAATCAGTTAGATTCAAATAGCCACTGGACAGCAAACCAGAGAGAGAGAAACAGTATTGCAGTGGGAGGTGCCTCACAATGTTATGAATTTCTGATAATACCGGCTGTACCATGATATTAATATTTTGAAAATGGAACACCATCCTCAGGTTTTACAGGTAGCTGTAGTGAGGAGATACGGTCTTTCAGTTGCTTGCTGTAGGCCTGGCTGTTCTGCCACGGATTCAGCAGCATGGTTCTGCTCTAGGATTGAGGAAAGGATAAACTACAACAACCTTAAAAGTGAATACCCAGAAATGTTTTGAAATACCAAGAATGATAATGAAACTCAACAGATGACTATTTAAGGTGGCTAATTCTTGAGAGCTTCCCTCAAAGTCCTTCTTTTGAATAATTCCTGGATATAAGAATGAAAGATAGCAAACTGCTGTTCTAGAATTTCTGTGTAAAGTATCTGCGTATGAAGCAGTATATCATCTCCCGTTGTATTTTACTGGCTGCACTCATGATGGTGTAATTGGTTTTACTTTTTCCTGTTTCTAAACCATTGCCTGTAAGTTTAGTAAAATCTGCTAGTTTGAGCATTGGTTTTGTAGTATTTTGGTCATAACGTAACACTCTTCAGAGTACTGTGAGCACTTGCCCCAGCCTGCAGAGGAAGAGGGCAGTGGTGGCAGTGTCCCTGTGTGCCACAGCTGCGTGTGCTCCCCTCGTGGCTCAGCCGATGCGTATGAAGGCTATGAGTGATCATTCATTGCTTTCCTCACTGAGCAGAAGTTTTTTTGGATGAGAAGCTTGTGTTCATTGCCTTGTCACGTAGGAGTGTTCAATGAGTCCTATTTCAGACCCTGGGGACCTGCAGAGCCTACATACAGAATTTCAAATGACAGCAATCCTTGCTGTTGACAGCCACTGCTGTACTTCAATGGCACTCAGAATAGTTTAGCACTTAGAGAACACAAATCTATAGAATAGCAGCAAACTTGAAAATAAATCCTCAGCTGGAACCAAAGTAACTTTTTTCCAGTAACAATGCTGGTCAGTGTATGAACGATGGGGCAAATGTGTATGTGTGAGTGTTGGTTCATACTGGTGCATGGCGGCCTCGGCAACTTCAGCGAGACACCGAGTGTTAGTTGGTGTGAACCTGGGGCGGATGTAAACCAGCACAACACATTCATGGAGCTCCTGTTCCTTTTTTTTGTCAGCAAGTGTGCACAGATTTGGGTAACAATTAGAGGGAGTCAATAACTTGTATCAAATTTCCCTGAAAGACACAGAAAAAGGTGATGGTTTGTAGATTTCTGAAACAGACTTTTGTTGTCGTTTGGTTTTTTCTAAGTGCTTGTCAGCTGGAGTTTTGCACCTATCAGAAAACCTGTTATTTATGGACAGTGTGACAGATGTGCATGTAATAGGTCGTTTGTCCATCTACAGAACATGGGATGCTTTCAACATTTACAGTGAAGAAAACCTTGAGGCCTTTTCTTCCCCTCCCCTTCGGCTCACTTAGAATCTGTTGTTCTCTCTATATTCATCACAGCTGGTCATCAATGCTGCGCTGGGATTTGACACATTTGTTGTGATGAGGCATGGACTAAAGAAGCCAAAACATCAAGAAGCTGGTGGTGTGTGTTTCAACAATGCCTCTGGTTCCTCTGATCTTCTGGGGTCGTCCCTCTTTTCAAATATCCCTGGCTATAAGCTGGGTTGCTACTTCTGCAATGATGTTGTGGCACCAGGGGATGTGAGTAGACCCTTATGCAAATGGTGATTATGTATCTCTTTTGTTGTCACTTGAATTTTTATTTCCCTTAAATGGTGTTTTGTGAAGGAATTCGGTTTGTGTTAATGTACTCAGGATTCAGAGATGGCTCATCTTTTATTTGGAAGAGCAAATAAATTAATTGCACAGAACTGAAGATGTTTTGTGCAGTAGGGCAGCTAGTTGCCTTTGAGTTACTTTTCCTTTCCTTTAGAGTTGTCTCTCTTTGTAGTCCACCAGGGATCGGACACTGGATCAGCAGTGCACGGTCAGTCGACCTGGGTTAGCCATGATAGCTGGGGCGCTTGCGGTGGAATTAATGGTTTCTGTTCTACAGCATCCAGAAGGGTGAGTCATTCCTGGGTTGGTGTTCAAAAGATGTTCTCTGAGAAAGAAGATCAACTTAATGTAATCTTTTTGGAGAAGGAGGAGGAAGTGCACATTAAGTAGGACAATTTTTTAAGGTGTAATGTCAGTTTTGTAAGGTGTAACATTGCCGGTAAGTTAATGTAACGTATAGCTCCTGTCTAGTACATTCCTGCAATTTCAGTGTTTAAGAGAGAACTGATTCATCAAATCTTAAATTTTTATCTTGGCAATAGGGAGTTTTCTCTTTCTGAGTTTAAAAGTAGAAAAGTACTGAGAATGTTTCAGAAGAAGACAGTATTCCTGCTAGTGGATCTTGGCATTCCTTTGTGCAGGAGAGTGTTTGAGTGCAATGAGGAGCTATCGCAACTACTTTTGTCACAGGAGGGGATTCAAGATTAAGCCAAACATTGCAAAATCTTAATCAAAATAAAGTGGCTTTCATACAGAAATTACTCTGAAATTCTGTAACCTGGTATTTAGTCTTGTTTACCCTCTTTAAAAATCTGTGAAAGAAAAAGTGAGTTAGGAGTTGGACATGAGTATGTTACAAGTCTCTGGGACTGATTCTGAAAAGGGGTTTTTGTGTTCCCATGCTGAATCTCAGTTACTGTGAAACAGATTTTCCAGATAGGTTCCTTTCCAGATTCTAGACTGTAAGCTGTAGCAACATGTCTTGAAGCTTGCTGGAAATTTTGACTGTTCAGTGTGTTGTCTTGTTCTGATTTTCCTTCTTGGATTTTTGGCAGTGGTTATGCTGTGGCTAGCAGTAGCGATGATAGAATGAATGAACCACCGACTTCTCTTGGGCTTGTTCCTCATCAGGTGAATAATTTATGAGTAGATGCTTTCGTTTAAACACTGGGAACTGATAATAAGGCAAGCATCACAGACTTAGCCTCCTTAACAAAAACATACTCTATACTGATTCCATTCCCCGAAGGACTGACTCTCTATCTTTGTTTTAAAAAGTACGTGAAAAAAATAGCTCCATTACCCAGGCCGAGGTGGTTGGTTCCTGGCATTGTGCCTGTCCTATTTGTGCTCTGACAATTCCTGCTTCCTACTTAGCAGGAATTTATTTGGAACAGACGGTGTGTGAATCAGGCAACCTCTGACTTTTCTGTCCCCCATCAGAGCTGCCAATATGAGCATCTCAAAGTTACTTTTCACTTTCTCAATCCCTTCTGAGTTTGCAAAAGAATAAAGTCCAGCCAACTCATAATTATTATAGTTCTCCAAAATATTTGTGCATTTCTGGTGCCATGCAGCAGTCTTTATTCTGCTGCTCAGCTCAAGCTCTGGTTACAGAGGTGTTAAGGATACCATTTTTCAGATTGCCGGATAGACTTGTCTCCATTTGTCACATTGATACAGTCCTTCACAGAGCTGCCTGCTGATCTATCCCCGTAATCATGTCCCCTGGGATAGTGTCACTGGGGTCTGGAAGTGGTCTGTGCCTTTCTCTGTGTTGCTTGTCTGGGTGACTCTGTTCGGGTGCTTCCATTGTATAAATAAATAATTTATGTGTTTCGAAGTGGCATTTTTAGATTCTATTAATTTTTTTTTTGCACTAAGAATGAATCTTGATACAGAAAAAGATAAAGCTGGCAGTATGCTTTCTGGGCAACATCCAGGTGATCACAGTCTATATACATTTAACCTAATTTTGTTTATAATTTCCCATAGTAGCCAGTGTTTATGCATGGGTTGTCTCATGCAATGAATGGGGTCCCTCTAAGTTCTCCCCGGGCTCTCTCCTGTAGTGCTGGAGTGTTCCCGGTTCTCTCCTCGTGCCCCTGGCGTTTCTCTGCTTGTTACTGTGCGCACAGAGATGGCCTCAGTACAAGGCTTCGTCCTCGCCAGCACTCCTCATCTGCTAATCTGGAAGGTTCTTGACAGTTTCCAGTTTTGGGACTAAGTGGTAGGGTTGTAACGCTCACAATGTACAGTCCGGTGACTTTAGTATAACCGAGTCCCTCCCTCGTCCCGTGGGGTGCCTGCAGTTGATGTGCTGACGCTGCCATCAGCTGGGCACAGCCTCTGCCCGCCGCTGCAGCACAGCCCAGGGAGGGTTTTGACCTCTTGTGCCTCAATAGGAAGGAAAAGCCAAATCTAAATCTTGTTCATGTCGTGGTCGAGGTACTCCCTTCTCATTTGTCTTTGGAGAAGTTTTTGCTTTCTTAGTTGAAGAATGAATGCCATAATTTCCAGAGAGTTTTCTGTAATTACCTGAATGTTTCCTGTGATCGTATGGGATGATACTACGCAGCCTTGCAGGCAGAAAAGTCAGACTCCAGGTGGTGCTGTTCCTCTGTTTATGTTTAAATAGTGTTGCATTTGGATGACAGTGCCATTATTTATATATAGAAAAACGGTAATATATGTTGAGTACAAATTTACTACAGCTGTTATTTGGGGTCTTTGTGTTAGAAGAGTATTGCCCTCATTATAGCTGTTCTTTATCTTTTATTGAATGTGTCCAGTTCAGGTAGAATTTTGGAAATGTTTTTTTCATTGTAAAATAGTACTGTAATTTTTTTTCCAGATCCGTGGATTTTTGTCAAGATTTGATAATGTTCTTCCAGTCAGCCTGGCATTTGATAAGTGCACAGCCTGCTCAACCAAAGTAAGGCTTGAATCTGTCTGTTCTTTAGTTATATGTACAGAGTGCTGTTGCTGTAGGTCAGTGTTGGGGTGCCGAGCACTGCTCTGTATCTGACGTTTTCTCTTACCTCCTTAGAGGGTGGAATGTATTCTCACTTCAGCTCAAGCCCTTTTGCCCTCATGCTCTTCTTCTTTAGCTGTTTTCCAAATTTCTTTGGTATCACCTATTAGCGTGCTAACTCCCCGTGAACATTCTAGTCAAGCAGAGATTAGGGCCAACACATCTCTGAAAAGTTTATCACATAAATACTGCCAATACCTTTTAGCTTTGTAAGAAGGAATAAAATTGTTGTTGTTTTTAGTTGCTGAAGAAATTCTTTCTGATGTCCGATGAGTAACTATCTTTTTAGCCTCCTTGAACTTAGTATCGTTACAAATACGTGAAGTTGTCTAAATTTCTCTTTTGTGGTACAAACCAAACATATAAAGAACACTTAAAGAAAAAGATGACTTCCATAACATTTCTTTATTGAAAAGGCTGTTTTGTTTTGGTGCTGGTGTTGACAGTCCTGAGTCACCTGATGAATTTACAGCTGTGCTTGGATCTGAGCTGCGTCTCGCCAGAACCAGGGCAGCCCACTGCTGTGTCTGTGCGAGATGTCTCCTCCTCAGTCTTGGATCAGTTTCCTGTGCTGTGGCCTTGAACCATTTTTTCTGGCAAGTTTTCTACAGCTGTGTCGTGCAAGTTCAAGAAGTTTTGTCGGGGATATCTCTCTATGAAGATTCAGAGGTTTTGACTCCTGATTTGTCCTGCTTGGGAAGGCCATTAGAGTAGTGCACTTTAAAGCACCTTGGGATTTACTGCAGGAAGTTCTTTCTGTTCCTTGTCACTGCACTTGTCCTTCTTCTTTCAAACAGCCATCAAAAACTCACGAAGCACTGTAATTTTTTTGAGGACTTGTGCAATTTCTTCTTCTGCAGTGTTCCTCTTATTTCTCTGGGCTGTCTGGGTGCGTTTGACAAGTTCTGAAGGACTGTGAATGTCCATTTTCTCCTCAGAAGTTGAAGCACTAAGCTTCAAACTGCTGTTATTTTTAGAAACGTGTATCTACCCACTTGAGTAGCTGAAAGCTCAGCAGTAACTAAAGGTGGTTATTTTCTCATCTTTTCCAGAAGCATGGTTTGCAGAAATTCTGTATGTGTTGCCTAAAGTATTTTACTTCAAGAAAATACATATATAAATGCAGGTATCAATTTTTTGTTAGCAAATCATTTCCTCTTGGAGGTCATTTTAAGAGAGCCCTGTTTTACATAAACAGAGTTGATGATTTAATAAAAACTGACTTGGATTTTAGCAGCTGTGCTATTCCCAGAGAGATCACTTTTCATGTGGTTTGGGTATTAAATGACTTCTGTGCTGAGAAGGTTGCTTCATTGGCGCATGTATTTCCTTACAGGAGAAACACAACGTTTGTTCACTTTGCTGACCTTCTGTTCATTAGCATAAGAGTCTGTCACCCTGTCTTATCTGGAAAGCCGATGCTAATACTCTGAAATGACAAATCCAATTACAGTTTAATTGTAGTCTGTATGTTGGGGTTTTTTTTTAACACAGTGATTTAACATAATTTCATCCTGATCTATGTCAGATTTACTAGAGATTTAAAATTTCAGCACAGGAGGGAAGTGGCTTTTCTGACACAACTGCTGGTACCTTGTTAATTGTCCCCTGCCAGTGTTCTCTCTCTTGAGCTCTTGTCACTCTAACTCTCCAAACATGGAACTGATGGATTAAGCATTTTTAAGAAAATTCCAATGCATTCTTAAGCCATTCCAGTGCAGCTGGATGAGTTAGGAGAAGCTGCTAATGATCTGTATGTTTAGAGATCAGATTCCATTTCATCCTGACTCAACAGTCGTGACTTCATGTCTCTTGGTTTGAAGCTGGAGAGCCCGGATGCCCAAGCAGCCCGCTGTTCCTTACCCAGGGTTGTCCTAACCAGGCTGCATGCCAGAGAAGCTTCCCACAGGCAGTTGGTCAGGAATTCTGGGATGGTCGCAGCAGGAAACCAATCTATTTTTATTCTGGGCCAGATTTTCTGTGTACGATTTCCCCCTGTGTCCTGTTGTGGTTCTGCAGAAGCATGTGCTGAAGCGGGAGCACACGTCCTCTTTCAGGGCTGAGGGCACTGCGCTGCCCGCCGAGCAGCAGAGCTGAGGAGCGGCGCGAGCTCTCCTGTTGCACCTCCTCTTCCAGGCCAAACTAGTCCTGGTGCGGAGAAGGGACAGTGCAAAGTTCTTTAGTATAGATATTTCTTTGTAATAACGCTTAGAGAATGAGAATGTTCAGCTCATTACTTACCATGCTAGTTAAGCTGCCCGTTTCCTCTGTTGAAAGCACAATGAGGCTATCTTCTCATAATATTATGGTGAGAAGCATTGCAATCCCGTAGAAGAATGGAGTGGTGCAGATCCTGTACTGTCTGATCCTTGAAGGCAACTGGCTAAAGCCGTGAATCATGAATGTTAAAAGATATGGCTAGCCTAATGCAAAACTACCAGCGCCTGTGTTTTATTGAGGGTAATGAAAATTTCCCTGTTATTGCTCCTCCCTCCTCCTTGTGCATCATGCAATGAACCAGGAGACCTCGTAGATTCAGAGTTTAACATCAGAAAAGATTATTGCTACTAACGCACTTGGATATACAGATGTTCCCTCTGGTTTTACATACGGTTCACAGATCTTATTTTTTCAAGAGTTCTAATTTATTGTCCCTGTGCTAGGAAGCTAGCTTATTTTCCTTAAAAACATTTGTTTCCTTCCCTTACTGAAATTGTTCTGATGTGTAACTGTCTCCACTGTCACATGACAGTGCTTCTATTGTTCTCACGGGGTAACTGCCTTGCTCGTATTTTTGCTTTAAATGGTCCCGATCAGTTATGACAGTAACGTGCACTATTCAGTAACTTACTGATTTTTTTTCTGTTGAGATAATTTTAATTTTTATTCTAGCAAGACCCTTCCTGATTGCCCTGAGAGCTGCCCTGAGAAGAGACTTTAATGTTTGCTTCCTCTCAGTAATAGCGTAGTGTAAGATCTGTCAGGGAAATTGCTTCTAGACTTTTTCTATTACACCTTTCTCAGTTCAAGTGTTGTGGTGATGTTGAATAGGGAGGTGTAAGTCTTGGGGGGAAAAATCCTTGGTCTTTCACTAACTTAAAAAAAAAAAAAAGCGAACTCTTGCATAGCTCATGGAAATGATGGAGGAGATGGGGAGAAATGTTTGTCCTTCAGGAATGAACACTGCAAAAATTCAAAAGAATGTTTAAAAAGAGTTATTTCTGTAGCTGTGGTGTGGCATTAAGCCTTTGTAACTGAGTCCATTTGTGATGTTCCTTATTTCCTGAATTTACGGATGTTAACCTTTGACACTTTATGTACAGTGCAGCCTCTGCAGTGACATTGGGTGGATTTCATTCAGACCTGAAGAACGCACCATTGATATACCTGGGCGTGTTTTCAGCATGCTGAGTTAAACGTCACACTTCTCTTTCTCTTAAAACGGCACAGAAAATTGGTTTATAAGTGACTTACAGAAATCTGTCACTTTTGGATTTCCTCTTTGAAAAATGTCATTTTAATGGAGGGGGGGCAGAGGGCAGGATTGGCTTGCCCGTAACTTTTGAAATCTCTGGCCCGTAACCTTTGAAATCTTTACATATCTGGATATCAATTTTAAATTCAGTGAGAGAACTGAAATAATGTATGGTCTCAAAATCAGCCACGGTGAGCGTGGTTTTACTGCTGGTTGCCTGAGAGATGCACATTCTTGAAAATGATGCCTGGTCTTACTATTTCAAAAATACAGAACTTTTATTATAAAATAAAATATAATGTAGATTATCCCAAGCAAAAGGATACTAACAGGAGGACGTTGTGATGTATACCAAGAATGCCACAGCACACACTAAGAAGTGATGCCCCTGGTAACGTGGCCACAAGAATGGAATTTGGTTTCCTTAGAGGAGGGCAAATCCGATGAAAAACCCCAGAAATCTTAAAGGTAGCATTAACTTTGAACAGTCCCCTATTTTGTGAGCAGAGAAGAGGGTGTGGAATCAGCAGTGTGCTCAGTACTGTGCGCTGGGGATGGTGGGGAGGTGTCTCTAGAGACAGGATGGATGGAGGATAATTGGAAAATGCAACTTAACAACACCGAAATCAAATAAGGTGGGAGGGAGCTCATTATCTTTGTCCGATATCTGGGGAAAAATAACAAAAAACAAACCATGATGTTAATGAAGTATGTGTAGTTCTGCGGCAAAGTTATACCTTGTTACTTGCTGCTTACTCCGACTGGTTGACTGGAAACTTCGTAGCTGATCCCATGTCAAGGCGGTGGTGCCAAACAGACTGCCTTTCGCTTGGCAGCTGCACAGCAAAGGCTGTGAATGGAGGGAATGTGGGGAAAGAGGGAATATGTTTCTGTTTGATCTTAAATCATACCACTTAACAAATTCAGAGGGCAGGCTGCCATTCCCGTGTGCAGGCGCTGTTATGGCTGGGCTGTAGGAGCTGGAGATGGTGCGTGTTTTGCAACGGTTACTCAGGGTTGTGGGTGCAGGTTCATTGATGTCTAGTAGATAACACATGGGACTGACACCAAACAGCCTCCCAGAGCAAACAGAAGAGAGCATTAAAACAAACAAACAAACAAACAAAAAAACAAAATTTGATGCTTTATCTTATGGTACTGAAGAGAAGTAAGGTTGTTTAAAAGTTCAGATCGCAAGAGGGAGAGCTCAAAGGTTTAAGCACTGCCGCTGCCGGCAGCGTTTGCTTCTCCTCCCCGCCAGACAGGATGGTGCTGGAAATCTTCAGTGAACAGCTGATCTTGGCCATTCTCTTGTCTCTTCATCTAAACATTTAACATTTGTGAAATTGCTTCTTAATCAATTGATTGTTTTGTTATATTTTCTTCAACTGAGATAAATGTAGCAAGTGTAAAAATTCAGGAGACTCTTTTGTTTTCTTTT